TTTGTTTTTTGGTTTTTTCGAGTCGGAGTCTCACTCTGCCGCCCCGACTGGAGTGCAGTGGCCGCTGCCGGCCACCGCAGCCTCGACCTGCTGGGCTCCGGCCATCCTGCCGCCTCAGCCCTCCCAGTAGCTGGAACTACAGGCGTGCGCTACCACGCCGGGCTGATTTTGGGATTTATTGTAGGGATGAGGGCTCGCCAAGTTGCCCAGGCGGGTCTCGAACCCTCAGGCTCAGGCAATCCCCTCACCTCAGCCTCCCAAGGCGCGGGATGACAGGCTGAGCCACAGCCCGGCTGAAAAGTGGGATTTGTAATAGCATCTAGTTAGTGACGTTGTTACCTATGGCGCACTTAGAACACCCCTGGTGGCAAGCCCCAGTAAGCCAGATCCTGCGATTTCATTTAGTCCACCGTTCAAGTCCAAGCGGTGAGGGTCTGAGCTTGGAATGGGCAAGAGTGGGCAGGGTGTGTGACCCTCCTGGAGGCTGTAATACGGAAAGCACCATCTGTACCCTCTCCCAGCCCCCTCCCAAAGGCAGTAACTTCTGCTTTTATGTCCCTGGAGGCAAATCTCTGAGCCAAGGAAAGTCTTTTTGTCCCTGAAGTTAACTGCAGCCTCGACCTGCTGGGCTCAGGACATACTTCTGCCCAAGCCTTCCAAGTAGCTGGAACTAAAGGCATGAGTCACCACGCCCGGCTAATTTTTTATTTATTGTAGAGATGAGGTCTCGCCAATTTGCCCAGGCTGGTCTCGAACCTGTGAGGTCAGGCAATCCTCACACCTTAGCCTCCCAAAGTGCTGGGATTATAGCCATGACCCACCACGCCCGGCCAAGGTTAACTGTTAAATGAATAAATGAATGAACGAAAGTTTTTAGGGTCTCTTCTCAGATGTCCAATGCCCAACAAACATCTCAAGGGTCCCTAGGGCAAGGGCTTCTGAACCAGATGTCAGCTGGGGGCATCTCCCTCTGGACAAAACCTCTCCCTTCCTTGGAAGACACATCAGAGAGGGACCCAGGAGCCTCTTCCCAGCAGATTAGACTCCCAGGGACTGAGCAGGGGGTGGAACCCTAGGGTGGAGTGGGCTCCCCTGAAAGGGGGAAAGGGGTGGAGGAGGAGGAATGTCATGACTGACAAAGAAAGACAAAGTAGGCCATGCGTGGGTGCTGTGAGATGTCAACAGTGCTTAGACTGCTTTGGCAGAGGAAACACACTACCCTATGACGTTAAGTGGAAAAAGCAGTGTATATAGTATGGCCCTACTCAATAAGAACATATTCTTATAGACGTAGACACGCACAGAGACAATGCTAGAAGAAAATTACAGCCAAATGTTTACAGTGATTATTTCCAGGTTGTGGGATGGCTTTAATATATATACTTTTATTTCTTTTTATATATTATTGCCAAGTCATATTTCTTTTCTTATTTATACTTTTCTTTCTTTTTTTTTTTTTTTGAGTTGGAGTCTCACTCTGTCGCCCAGACTGGAGTGCAATGGCCGCGCCTGGCCACCGCAGCCTTGACCTGCTGGGCTTCGGCGATCCTTCCGCCTCAGCCTTCCAAGTAGCTAGAACTACAGGCACGCGCTACCACGCCTGCCTAATTTTTTGATTTATTGTAGAGATGAGGTCTTGCCTGCCCAGGCAGGCCTCGAACCCACGGGCTCAGGCAATCCACTCACCTCAGCCTCCCAAAGGTGCGGGATTACAGGCTGAGCCACCGAGCCCGGCTACTTTTCTTTTTTTAATGAATATACACTGAACAACTCAAAAAAATAAGCACATGTTATTTTTAGGAGATAGGTACAATCACTGGGAACCTTGGAGATCATCTCATGGTGGAGAGATGTGCTTATTGCGCAGATGGTAGAAGTAAGGCCCAGAAACTCCCAGCAGCGAGTTCAAGGTCACAAGGCAAGCAAACAGAAGAGGCATGAGCAGAATCTAGGGCTGCTATCGCCCAGCTGGGAGTCAGGACAGGAGTTTCTACAGCTGGGGACAGGACTTGGTGCCAGAACCCACCGGATGTTTTGGATTCAGGAGGGTGCAGACTGAGCCTCCAGACCCTCAGGGGCGGAAATGCCGGGATGAGCAGAGAATGAACATGTGTTGGCTGGTTCTGTTTGCAAAGCTCTCTCTCACTGCATGCTCACAGCAGCCCTGCTAGTTAGGCTGCAGTGCCCCCATTTGCCAAATGAGGAACTGGGCTCAGAGAAGTGAAGCAATCTGCTCAATGTCACATAGCTGACAAGGAATCACAGCAAGGGAGGCGGCCTTGGAACCCAGCTCTAACTGCAATTGCTAACATCCAAGGAGAACCTCAATAGTAATGAACTGTGGATAGAAAAAAACCTTTGGGCTGGGTGTGGTGATTTTTCAATTTGGGAGGTGAAGGTGAGAGGACTACTTGAGCCTAGGGGTTTGAGACCAGACTGGGCAACTTGGCAAGACTTCATCTCTACAATAAATAAACAAATTGGCCGGGCTCGGTGGCTCAGCCTGTAATCGCAGCACTTTGGGAGGCCGAGGTGAGTGGATTGCCTGAGCCCGCGGATTCGAGACCCACCCAGGCAACTTGGCGAGACCTCATCTCTACAATAAATCAAAAATTAGCCGGGCATGGTAGTGCACCTGTAGTTCCAGCTACTTGGAAGGTTAAGGCGGAAGGATCGCCGGAGCCCAGCAGGTCAAGGCTGCGGTGGCCGGGAGCGGCCACTGCACTCCAGTCTGGGTGACAGAGTGAGACTCCAACTCAAAAAAAAAAAAAACAAAAAAACAAAAAATAAAAATAAAATAAACAATTAACTGGGCATGGTGGCATGCACCTGTAGTTCCAGCTACTTGGAAGGATCATCTGAGCCCAGCAGGTCGAGGCTGCAGTGGCTGTAATTGTGCCACTGCCCTCCAGTCTGGGCGAAAGAGTGAGACTCCAACTCAAAAAAACTAAACAAAACAAAAAAACCTTTGAGCAGTGCGAGTCCTACGGCCCAAGTCTCCATGGTCTTTGTAAGTCAGGAGGGTGAATCAGCCTTGGAGGCTGCTGGCCTCTTCAGAAAAAAGGATTCATTCTGGTGAAGGCTACCTCCAGTTCTTTGGTATCTATTTCCTGTTCTGTTCACCAAATGACTGGAATTTGAACCCAACCCAAGCTTTATCCAAAAAGAGGGCCTGTCTCTTTAACCAGCAGTGGCTGCCATCCAGATGTTACTCTTGGTACGTGCCACACGTGCTGCAGACATTTAAAGGCACAGGACTCAGCTTTCCTGGAAGATGCAGAAAGGATGGCCAGCCTGGAGGGCTGCTACCCAGTGTCAGGAGAGGCTTTTCTTGCTTTCATCTTCTTTTACCCATTTCCTTTGTTGGAAGAGCAACAGCTTCAGTGCCATGGCCACACTCTGAGCTGCCAAATGTGCTGTCACCTCTCACCAGCACTTAGACCCAATAATAATAATAATAATGGCCGGCTGGTGGTTCACACCTGTAATCCTAGCACTTTGGGAGGCTGAGGCAAGATAATCCCTTGAACCCAGGAGTTCGAGACCAGCCTAGGCAGTGTAGCAAGATCTCATCGCTACAAATTTTTAAAAAATGAGCCAGTAGTTCCAGCTACTTGGGAGGCCAAAGTGGAATGATTGCTTGAGCCCAGTAGGTAGAGACTGTGGTAAGCTATGATCGTGCCACTGCACTCCAGTCAGGATGACAGAATGAGACCCTGTTTTAATAATAATAATAATAATAATAATAATAATAAGCTGGGTGTGGTGGAGTGCATCTGTAGTTCCAGTTACTTGGAAGGCTGAGACAGAAAGATCGCCTAAGCCCAGCAGCTTGAGGCTGCAGTGGCCGGGAGCATGCTGCTGCACTCCAGCCTGGGTAACAAGAATGAGACTCCATCTCGAAAATAATAATAATAATAATAATAATAATAATAATAGAATTTCCAAGATGTTCCCTTAATTGAAAAAAGTAAGATGCAGCTGGGCTCGGTGGCTCAGCCTGTAATCCCGCACTTTGGGAGGCTGAGGTGAGTGGATTGCCTGAGCCCGCGGGTTCGAGACCTGCC